GAGAAAGGGAAACAAAAAAAAGCAGTGGAACTCTGGAAAAATCTCTGGAAGCGAGGTGATAATTTAAATTGCGTTGAGGTTGGACGAGACAGGTGAGTGAAGTTTCGCGGAATGGTTTTGTGAAGGTCTGACTTTCACAGGAGCTCGAGCAGGAAACGTTCCAAACTCGGGACCTAAATCCTTGCTAATCTTTACGGCCCGGTGGCAGAATGCAAAATACCAGGGCTCCGCTCCCGAGCCGTGAGCCAGCGCTCCTGCAGTACCAGATATCCCAAACTCACGTGTTAAATGAACTTGAGATTGCTGAGCACGGAGGCAAGCCACGCCGTGACAGCTCAGGTTTAAACTGCGCCTGCGGATGAGTTTTTTAGCAGTTGTGGACAGAATTCTGCTTCTTCCTTCACTTCCTTTGCTTCTCATTTTTAAAATCTTAGGACTGCACAAGAACGTCGAGTCCCTGGCTGTTTAAAGGCCCATGTGACTCCTCTGTACTTTGAACTCAGATAAACTTCTTACTGAATGAAGTCATGTGTAAAATGCTTTCCAACAGAGATTATTTTGAACCAAGCTGTACTAAGAAATGCAACAGAATTTCAACACTCATATTTCAGCAGCAAAAAAAAAAGGAACCATTCTTGTACCGAGCACAGCGCTTTGGGAAGGAGCACCAGATCCCCCCACACAAACAGAACGACACTTGTACTAGACCACAGAAGTAGATCGTGTTTTAGTTCGAGGAATAAAAAGATCATCACGCTTCCACAGAACCACACGTCAGAAAAACAGGCTTTTGCCTAAACAACGCGTGCAACTTTGCTTCCAAAAGACTTCTTCGTAAATCACAATATCCCAACTTTAAATCAGTAAAACCAGTATCAGGTCCAACCTGGCCATGTTAGGACGGATCAGAATCTCTGTGTGCTTCTTAACCTGAAGAGATAATCAGGTTTTAGCTAATATTTGGGAAAAAAAAAAAAAAAAAATCACAGCTCTGATCATTACACTTTTTTTCCCCAGGAGCAGAACATATGGCTTGTATCCTGGCTAACTTCCAACCTGAGTAATTACGTACTGACCACATCAGTTTCCCCTGCGGTTTTAACTGGATAAAGCATTCCTCTCCAGTTCCTCCCGTGAACATTTATTGAGAGCACTATTAAACAGCTACCGCCCTCTGCCCCAAAGATGGCTGCATTTTAGTAATAAGTGAATGAAACGGTTTCTTAAAGTTACAGTTATATCCTTGTCCCCTCCAAATGTAGTTGGGATGGACAGGGATACAATTATAATTTTAAATATAATTAGGGGGGGACATGGATCTGTTAACACATGTTTTGAGTTCCTAATCGCATCTGTTGGACATGATCTTCTGTATCAGGACGAGGTTTTCATGCAATGAAATTGATAAATGAAGATGGTATTTTTCCTAACAACCTCAAGTGTTAAAAGACCTACCCTTAGGTTCATACAGCATATTTAAAACCAAGCATTTCTTCTGAGGATGTGGAACAGCCTACGAGCTCAGGAAGGGCTGTGTATTGAAAAAGATCAGTATTAGAGAAGATGCGGGCAAGCTTTCTGCTCAAAAGCACAGGACAACCAGACAAAGCAAAAGAAGAGTTTGGATATCTTGCTTTTATACCAGGGCATTGACTATTTTGATTGGTGCATTGCGACAGAATGAGCTATATGCAACACGGCGGTCCACCATGTATCTCGAAGATCTCAAAGCACTTTACAACCGATTAGTGCCAAGAGGAGGTAGTGGAGACAAGCATTAGGAGAGCCATCTTACAACAAACTACAGAACCAAACCAGGTACCTGATCAGGTAAAATTCTTCCTCCCTTCCAATCAAGACTGCAAATACTGAAATCAAGATGAGAATTACCAAAAGGGAAAAGTCATTTTGAGTACCTTCACTTTTCATTTCCCAGCCTGAAACCATCGGAAGTCCAAATGTCCAACATATAAACTATTAACTTCAGCTAAAGTCTGCAGCATTTACTACTTTTGCAGATGCGTCAGGATCGCTGTGACAAACGAGGCACTCTGAAAGTCGGAAGCCCCTTTAACAAGTTCCCCTGCACGGGATCTAAGTGACACTAAGCAGTAGAAATACCAGCAAGAGAGCCATTTAAACCAGCCTATATTTTAACCGCTCGGTCAGATTTATAAACTACTTTGAAGATGACAAATGCTACTGAGCTGTCCAGTATTACCACGTAAAATTGTGCATGGGAACGAATTTTTTTCTGCAAGAGAGCTGAATGATGAGTGCTCCTATTAGCTGCTTAATACACACACACGTATATATACACATCTGTATGTACGTGTGTATATACAGCAGTTTAAGAGATCTACATCAGTTTAAGAGATCATGTATAACACATTTGCACCTTTTTTCTACCTTAGAAAAACCATGGAAAAAAAAGGAAGGAAACCCAGCTTTCTGCTCTCTCATAAACCAGAAATGGGTCCATTCCGAGAACATGATGAGTGGTCAGCTTTCTCCCATTTTGCTCAATTTGCACTTTTTGTAAACATCCTTCCCCTTTGCACCCCCAAAATGATCGATTATGGGACTGACGTACATGGCAAATGAGAAGCCTCTGCCATTTATATTCACCGATTCATTAGGATTCCGCTCCCCGGCCCTCTCGGCGCGTCGGAGCTGGCAGAGGATTCAGAGGGGTGGGAAGGCTGGAGCCGAGAGGGGCCGAGGGAGCAGCCCTTGTCGCTGCCAGCCCCAGCAGTGACGCTGGCAAAGGAGCCGAAGGCTGGTGCCACGCTCACGGAAACGCACTCGGGTTGTGGGAATGCCGTTCCAATTAATCCGTCAAACTGAGCAGTTCGGGATTTGATTTCCACCCTGTAAGGATGTGGCACTATTAATTGAGAAGACTGAATATTTGCTGGGGTTTTGATCAGGCCAAGCCAAAACCCAACCAACCAAAAAAAGGCAAGTTTTAGAGGGAGACACAAACTTTGAAGTGTTTCTGGTGGCATCCCTTTAATCACGCGGAAACAGAATTCAAGGCATCGCCTCCATCAACAACCACAAAATGGGACCCACCTCTGGTGTGCAACATTGCCATCACGCGGCCATTCCAGCCTCCAAAAACACCAGTGGGGATGCGATCGGAACCTTGCCCCACATTTGCAGCTTTAAAAATTGTCTTTAATAATTTAAAGGCTTTGAGCAACCTGGTCTGCTGGAAGGTGTCCCTGCCCCACGGCAGGGGGGTTGGAACGAGGAGATCTTTGAGGTCCCTTCCAACCCAAACCGTTCTGTGATTCTGTGATCACATTGGCAAGCTCCAGGAGAACTGGTGGGGTGGTGACAACTCTCTCCTAACATCCCTCCGCAAAGAAAAACACTCCCTTCTTCAGACCTGAGGTCAGGTAGCCAACGCATTTTTCATTTTCTGAGACATACTGCCGCCACGATTATGTTGCGATGCGCGGTATAGAGTACAACTGAACATCAAAAATGTACCGAAACATCAACAACGACAAACCGAGCATTCTTGATGTCAGCAAGCCAATCTTTACAAGTGATCTGAGTGAGAACAGCACAACGGCCTGGATCAGGAAAGAGCTCCAACACAGGAAAACCCATGGAAGTTGGCATAGAGTCGGGAGTGGAAAACAGGGCAAATGAATCAAATTAGTAATTTAAGAAGAAAACGAAATACTGACAGTCAGAGGACACAACAACGTGGAATGCAGAAGCAGGCTGTAGTAAAATCTGCAGTCAGAAAAGCTGTACATAGAGAAGTAGTAACAGAATTAAACCAGATCCCGGGAGGATGAGTGTCTCAATTAGAGCAGCAGTAAAGAAAAATAATCATCTGCTTGAGTCAGAAGTTGTTCATCTACACAAAACGTGTGTTTGCACTCGTCTGGAGCCCTGCCCAAGCAAAGCAGGCGTGATTTAGCTTACTCACAAAATGACCCGCTGCTTGCTTGAATTACGGCCTCAGAGAGGGACACACACACTTCTTAAAGAAGGGACAACCTCGTCGCCTGCGTACGAAAGCAGAAGTACAAGGGGAGCTTTCCGCCCAGCTGGCCCAACAGACAGACCCCCACAGAAATAACAATCGCCTGGAAACAAATTCAGTAATATATTCGTTAGAACAACAGCCGTCTTTCAGCTCGAAAAAAACCTGGTAGCAAAACAGTTTCTTGAGAAACAAAGGAAATTTAATCACTTAGGACTGCAAACAAATACTGACCGGTAAAGAATAGAAGTTAAACTACCAGAGGGGGCTGGCCACAAAAAGCAAAACCTGTTTGTATCCTCGTCTCCTAGCACTCGGCACCTGTAAACACCGAAAGGGACCTGCCTGCCTCCCCAGTACAGCCCCAACAAAGTCACCGCACTTGGGAAAGATCCCGCTACAGCCAAACTGCCAAAAGCGGGCAGGCAATACTAACTTTCTTCTTCACCGTATAATTTTGAAAAGAAAGCTTGCGCCATCGCTTAAGTGGAAAGTCTGAACCACTCCTAAAAAGCCAGTGAAGGAAATCAGCTAAATATTCACTACGACCCTGAGCCGGAGCTGCTGAGATGGTAATTATCCCTTTTTTTTCTTGATGTTGGTTTACTTGTTTCTTTTGCCAGATGGCATCAGGTTCATCTGCTAATCAATTCCTGAGAAGCGTGGCTGTTTGCTTTTATTATGCAGTTTCTCCTGTCTAGGGTAAGAGGGCAGAAGCCAGAGAAATCATTTTTACTCCTGTTTTTAGCAAAAAAGCTAGCTTGTGAAAACTAAAAACGCTCCCAGGCTGCAAGAGAGCTTTGTTCTCTGTGTCATCGACCGAGTTTCTATACGCCGCTACAAGTTTCAGTACATATTTGAACAGACCATCCCCTATTATTTTTGTAGTTTAAGTGCAAAACAAATTGAAGGGTTGAATTAAAGTACTACTTTCCTTTTTCATTCAGGACTGTCAGCTATATAGCACGTAAACAGGGAGATTTCTCAACAGAACATGAATCCAGGAGGGAAAACAATTTTCCAGGAATATCTGACAAACCAGGGGACTGTGGTAAAGCCCTATCGCTGGCAGAGACAGAACCACGTCTGTGCCAAGTGTCCCTACCACATACGGACTGGTGAAGAAGCGAGAGTCCCTTACGCCGAATTTCACAGGGTCTTTGGCTTCCCGTCCAGATCAACAGCAACTCTCCAAACCAAACACCTTCTCTTCTACGAACTGAGGAGTTTCGCAGGCAGAGTAATCCAAAAAGGCCACGCGACAAACTGTACTGACCAAGACAAGCACCCAGAATCTATGCTGTTTGAGACGGGCGGTTATCTGGACGCAGTTACGGATGCTTATGGAAACATCGGCTCCGTAGTCCTCTATTCAAATTACTCCCCTTGTAACGAGGCTTACCACTGCTGCATAAGTAAAATCTACAACTTCTTGCTGAAGTATCCAGAAATCACGTTCTGCATCTATTTCTCTCAGCTGTATCACGCCGAGGACGGTTTCCCCGCGGCCGCGTGGAACCGGGAAGCTTTGCGAAGCCTCTCCAGCCTGCGGCCGCGGGTGACCCTGCAGAGACTGCCGGGGGGGGCACGGCGTTACCTCCTCTGCAATTTTGTGTATGGCATCCCAGGGACAGCCCTTTATCACCCAGCTCCACCAGCAAAAACCTTAGCAGATCGACAAGATCCGCATCGCATTAACAACTTCACAGGAACGAAACCGTATTTTAGGAAAGCCTTGCCCCAAGCAATGCCTGCGGTGCAGCAGAACTTCAAGGCCCTTTCTTCTCCCCAGCCAGCCCCCCAACAGCCTTTCCAGGCAATGAAAGGCGGGCTGCTGCCTCTGGGATCTCAAAGCCACTTGGTGTTTTTCCCAGGCATGTTTCTGCCCGTTCAGAGGGAACATCTATACCCCAGACCTAAAAATATCGTAAGGCATTTAAAAATGCCAAAGGAATAATTCCGTGAAACTCGTAATTCTGAAATGTTTCCAAAACTGAGATCACAGATGGCAAAAAAAACCCAAAACAACCCACCAATAAAGTTACATCCTACAAAAGTTAACCCACAGAATAACTGTAGGTCTCAAATAACAGTTTACGAAGGTAACACGTATTTTACTCCTATACTTTTCAAACATAAGCCCACACTAGTAAAAGCAAAACCTCAGTATTGATGTCAAAATCTTTCTGGTTGTAAGTTCTAACAAAGATAGGGAACTGATATAAATCGTTTGGGTAGAGCGGCTCTTGACATGACAGTAGGATAAAAGGAACAAATAGATCTGAAACCAGGGACCAGAAAACTTCAGTGGACTGATTGCCCAAGAAACTTGGCTATCAGCTAAAAACGTGTCCTGAAGGTGAACTCAGCTCATTATAGTATGAAAACCACACCTCCAGTACCAAAGCTCCCTGCCTCCAAGGAAAGACCCTCCCCACTCAATATGCGCAGTCCATTCAAAACGCACTGTGCCTTTAATTTGAGACGGGAGAAAGTTAATCCAATCAGCAGATTTGCCCATCTATACCAAGTAGTGGTATAGATTCTATATCTGTCTATATCTATGTCTATGTCTATATCTATATCTATATCTGTATCTATCTATATCTATATCTATACCAAGCAGTGGTATAGATTCCTTATGCAAATATTACCTGGATAGAACTGTATCAACACGCTTCTCTTTTTGACTTGGGTGTGCTAGCTTGGGGGGATGACCCCCTAGCACCCCTTTCTGGGCAGAACTGCTAATAAATAGCTCATACCTCGGCTCCGCGTGTTCTTGGCTTGCACGCCGGGTAAACGAACCCCAACTTTGGGGACAACGGTATCTTCTGATTACCTCCTGCAATTAATTTATTTGCTGCCCTTAAGCCAATTTCTACCAGAAAAATATAGACAGTCCAAAAGCCACAGCCACAGCTACAGCCAGATTGTAGCTTCCCAGCTGAGGCAACTTTGGTGGAACATGTGGCGTATTTTAAATTCCTCCTCTATCAAGAAGGTGGCTCTGCACATAGGGCTGATACACGAATAAAGTTTTCCCACCAGCTGTTTCCTCAATAACAGTGGGGTTTATATATGCACGTGTATACGTGTGTGTGTGCATACGTGTGTTTTTTTCCCTAGGGCTGCTGCGTTACGTTAAGGGGAACCTCACAAAGAGGTGTAACTTTCTAATTAGTAAGAAATATCTAATAGGCTAAACAGACTGGCTGATTTTGTACAAGTCAGCGCTTCTGCTCCTTTTTCACTCTTTTTGTGGTCCCAGTTATTACGTATTTGAGTTTAAAAAAAAAAAACAAAAGAGGCTGCTTCCCACTGGGACCTCAAACAGCCTTCATTTCAGCAGAGGCGATCCCACTTGGAAACTCCAATGCTTTACGACATTAACAGAGACAGGAATGTTCTAGAATCCACCAGACCCCTTACTTCTACGAGGTCTAGGCGCTTTATTAGAAAAGCTTTCTTGAATCGGATCCCATTCGTCCTGCGCTTTCTGAGAGAACCTTAACCAACGCGATCACAAGAAGCGCTCTGTGCCGTGGCGCTGCGGTGATCGCTTTCTTTTGGCCATGAAACATAAAGGTAACCCTTTCTTTTTTTT